GTAACAGTAGTCTGGAATGCCCCTGTGACAGCCCACCTGATAGACATGAAAGATCCCACAGCAGGGGTTGACACTTCGACTTCCCACCCACCATAAGTAACAACACATCACACTCAAACCCTGCACTCCAATATTTGTGATCACTCTTCCTCAACTGAGACAAAAAAAAACATTTTGAAAACACGAAACAAACAAATCTTTCCAGTCTGAAAGGATAAACTTGTACGTTAAGAAGAGAAAAAGTTGTTTTACAAATGTAGATCTGCTCTCCAGGAGGTAGCCTTTCTCCATGGCTGCGTACTGAAAGAAAAGACCTGTGTGGTAATTCTTTCCTCCTAATAGGCAAGTCTCGATATGTGGACAGTACAGGAAGACTCCAGTCTCTTAAAGGGACAACTTGTTCTTATAATTTACATAATCTAGAAATTATGATTTAAACTACTTATTATTGCCATAGGGACTTGCCCAAGTCTATGAGGGAGGCGGCTCCTGACAAGTTACATTCTCCACATTCCCCCGAACAACGCACGTTGATGCTATTCCTCAGTGACCTCCAACACTCGACAAGAAACACCACCAAAACAATCTACTTGACACAACCGTCTTTCGGATGTTAATATTTTGATGGCAAAAATGCAATCCTTATCTTCGGGTGAAGTCGTTGCAAGAGCAGTTGGGGCACAAACATAGGCAATGTAACAGTAAATTTAGATTATAAACCGAGTGTGTTTCCATATCGTCAACCCATTTGGATACAATGACATGCATCAACCAAGTCAGCGAGACTGATGACCTCACCCCGTTAGTCGCCTCTTACACCAAGCATAGTTGCCTCTTCCGGCTAGGATGGGTTGCTGAAGACCTATTCTAACCCGGATCTTCATGGGTTCGTAAACATCTACAACCTGTATCACTGAAACTTTCCTCTCACAATAACAATGTCGCTTTTACATGATAAACTAAAATATTGTTCAAGGCAGCATAAACCGCAACTCACTCACTCATTCCCCCTGTTTACTCATGTTTATCTTCAAGAATCGTCAAGTGTTTCTCGTAACTGTATTATAATTAAGGGGCATGAGTATCAGAAACCTAAACTCAATGATTCAGAGCTCCAGATAAGTTTTAGAGCAATTGAGTTTTTACTTGAAGGTTTCTATTTTAATTGGGTTATTACATTTTTCATTAGGTAACCAATATTTGTTCACTCATCTATTCATCACTCTATTGGCTTCTTCCCAAAACGAATTAACATTTTGAGATTTCAAAAAAAGTAATAATAATGTTTTAGATGTATATAAGGGTTCTAACTAAAGGCTTGACACGGAAAGTAAATTAGCTCGTAATTGAGTTTCGGAAATTAGCTCCATTGTACATGCCGAGTTCTCAAATAAAGACATCAGTCTTCTTAGGCTTCATGATAGTTTAATATTGACAAGCGTCGGCATCGCATGTGCAGATCTCAACATGTGCTCAAGACCAAGGGAGCTAAGTCACTCTCATGAAGTTGCATACCACTAAATACATATACGCCACAGTACACATACTGAAAAACCTTCATTGGGTGTTTATGTGTGCTGTTTTACATTTAAATGCATGCGGTTCTGTACGCATGTTAATTGAAAGTAATTGGGTTTTGAATATTATGGTGGGGAGTTATCTGTAGCTCTGTGATTGACAGTCCATAAAATAACACCTGTTGATATACCTGGGTAAAGACTATTAGCACCATTAAACAAACAGTAGAATAAAGACTATACAAATTAGTCACACACTTGACTGAACAGCCGAATTGATCGTCTCAAAGGGACAATCAACCGCCGTGGTAGAATTATGACAAAAAAATCATCTGGCTAACAAAGCTGTGACTGTGAGGAACAAACTCCCATTTAGTATGGCAGGACAACTGAGCCATATCATCAAAAATGATCAAGTATAATATATTTGTGTATCAGTGTGCCAGTCTATCACTACATACACATGTGAGTACCGTAAAAGGCGACTATGCTTGTAGTAAAAGGCGACTAACGGGATCGGGTGGTCAGGCTCACTGACTTGGTTGATGCATGTCATCAATCCCAATCGCGTGGATCGATGCTCATGATATTAATCACTGCATTGTCTGGTCCAGGCTCGATTATTTACAGACCGCTGTTGTATGGCTGGAATATTGCGGAGTGCGGCGTTAAACAACAAACCAACCAGCACCAGCTACAAAAGGTGTTTTTTTAAAATCAATGATAGCAGTCCTGCCATCCTTTCACCAGGGATTTCAGTTCAGCCCATCTTGATTAAGTTATTTCCATTTTTAGTTACAGATAAAAGTTTTAAACTTCATTAAAATATGTTTCCCAGTTAATTTACTGATAAAATGTCTTTGTGTAAGGGGGAAAAACATCAAAACTCTTCAACTCTGTGTATAACAACCCCCCCCCCCCCCCCTGAAAGCTCCCTAATTCTAGGTACGAAAAACTTGCCTTATGCACAGCGATATATGGTAGATCTGAAGTTTTCACTCCGATATTGGTGTAAAAGGGTTTTCTTTGAACATCTTCAAAATTCATGTGACCATAGTTGCATAAATTTGGGAAATGATTGTCAGGTTGACTTTGTAGTTATACAAAGACTATGCTGTTGTTACCAGTAATTAATGAAATCTTTAAACAAATTATACACAGATTCATAGATCAATTCTGTAGGATCCAGTGAACTGTACATTTCAGCCCAACAACTGGGCAGCGTTTACTTGACAGATTGTTGAAAGTATATGTTATTTTCCAGTTAGAGCGTAGCGGTTCTTTGAATGCAAATTTCCAATCTTAATATACGGTTACATTTTCATGACAAAATAATCTTACCAAATCCAGGTTTGGGCTTGAAATATGCAACCTACAGCTTATTGTCGTGGTTGATAATATTTTCAATATAATTTGGTATTGCCACATCGCCAGTATTATGGTTTTTAACACGACCTGTGCATGCTGCACTGATGCCAAAACTGCCACCATTTTCAATGAGCCATGAGGCACAATGATAATTTTTTGAATCAATGACATATCAATGATAAATCCATTAAATTAATTTGGTACCACTGAAAAGTATGTGATTCTGAGAATCAGAAAATGTTTTTAGTTTCGACTTCTAAAACAACTGAACATGACAAGTTTCTGTCGAAAATGGGCATGCAATTTTCCAGTTGCCTGGGTGACAACTGTCGCGACAGACACTGCTATACTCAGTAGATCTGCGTGAATGTTGTTGCCACATGCAGTCTAAGGGTTAACAAATATATGTGTTTCAAGTTTTGTGACATTCCCCACATCCCATTTCAACATCAAACCTTTGAAGTCCTATATACCCACAGAGAATATTAGCCAACCAAAAACAAAAATGGAAAAATTGTTACTTTGTTCAAAATTGGGATGGGCTAACTAGAATAGAACTAAGTATTGTAGGGCATGTTAAGTCAACTCTGCAGATTTTATTTTCGTTAGGGCATAGTTAATCACAAATGCTTCACCAAAATTATATTTGAAAAACAGAAATAGCCTGAAGCGGATGATAACAAACGACAGGCGAAATCATCTCCAAAACCATAAATTTTGTCACTGAGGGGATTCCCCTTACTGGGTGTTAAAACAGGTTCCTAATGTTTGACACGCTGCACAACTTAAATTATCATCACGATCAGGCTGACGCCCAGTCTGCTTGCTTCTGCCTCCGATTTTTCAATATGTTACAACTTTTTTACGTCTGCTCATCCATTTGATTACCGTGTCCACAACTTATGTCACCTTAGTAACAACACTGAAGATGCCTTCCGTTGTTTACTCGGGAGTAATCCCTGACAGGCATCCACTGTGTGGACTAGGGCCAGGGCAGCGCTGTTTTGTGACCCACACAGAATGTCAGGAACAAGACGCTAGCTACAGATTGTTATTTGTTATCTTAATTAGTCACAATGTCAAGATCAAAGGTCCTTTCACACATTCAACAATGTATGCAATGATGATAATTCTTTTTTGATTAACAGAAATAGCAGAAACAGTACATGTATAATGGCAAAGAAAAACACGACTGATAAACGTGGCAAACATGTCAGCCAATGAAAACTATTGTCACTGATGCGCCGGTAGCTTTAGGCCATGCCCCCTTATAAGTTTGTTTCAGAAGCTGATTATGGCATGTGTGATTTCAGCACTATTCACTCTCCTTTTTCAGACGCCTTACATGTTAACAGCGCAATCAGCCAAGCCACATCGTCACTTGGTATTATGTGCACACACCTGTTTTCAGAGGCACGAGCCATCTCTGTATTCAAATGAAAATTGACAATAACCATCCTAGACTGTACAGTATATAAATCATCTCCATTCTATTATGAAAAGTACCTGGACCCATTCCCAACATAATTATAAGAGCGACATCAGCATCTAGCAATTCAGATTAATTTGAGAAGGAGAAAGTGAGAGACATGACGATGACGCTGTCACTTCAGAAACACAATCTCATTCAAATCAGACCTTACTCCGATGTAATACCTTACTGTGCAAAGATCAGGGGACATCAACGCCATCTGGTGAACTTTCTTATCAGCCAATCAGCTTCAGCGCTTTTTAATTCTTTGTACAAGTGTGCGAAAGAAGTCAGACAAGCTTATCTAGTTTCTGAATTCAAAAACAAACATAACTGAGGAAATCTGAATGGAAAAGAGAAATGCTGTGCTGTCATAATGTTATGGATGATTTATACATCCTGACATTTTTCTGACTGCTATCATGATGGTATCTACACCCAAAGGGTTACTATGGAGATAATATTTTTGTTCTGACACAGTTTTCTTTGACAGAGATCGAAATTACTGAAGACATAAAGCAGCATAGTTTCAGATAGCTGACATCTGATTGGGTACAGAACCCAAAGTGTTGGTTAGGATTGGTCATATTTATCACAACAGAATGGAGGTATCATACCCTGGATAAGCAAGGATGAACACTTACCGAAGTGGACATTTGCCTGCCTCTGCTCATGCGAGAAAACATTCCTCTCATTCTAGAGTTGCCACCGGCTACCATTGGGTCAATCATGTCAGGGTGGTCGCTCATCTTGGTCAATTCTGAAACATGTTGAACAGTCATATCATGAAATGTCAGTTAAATGTAGCTGTAAGTTAAATGTGGTTGTTACCATGGTTACATGTGGTTGTCAGTTGTCAGTGATACAATCCTAGGGACCAACAACATTTAATGTTGGGAGGCATGAGTAAAGGCAACAGAATTTTGGTGAGTGTCAAATCTGAATTAGGAATCATGACCACTATCGATAAGAAACATGGATCAATAATCAAATTACAGTTATCCTGTGACAATTGATTGGGTATGTAAGCAATTTGTTTTGTGTCTAAACCAAAAGAAATTAGGCCTTTCTCATTTAACAGACTACTGTTTCCTGGTTGGCTGGACAATAGAATAGCAATGGCTTGAATTATTATTGCGCTGTCACCGAATTTTGTATTGGTTCCATTTTTTGTTTTAAACATTAAAACATTAAACATTTACATATAAAGATTGAAGTCAAATTTTTAATGTTTATATTGATATACATGCAAAAAATATTGCATGCTTATTTACAGCTCTGACAGGAACAACATTCAGAGAGTTAAATTCTATATGTGTCGTACTGTAAGGTTTCTGGCATTGTGTGTGTTGGAAACCCAGCTTTGTCATCTACTGCACATGATAGTGATGCACCTCTGCGGTATGACCTTATGACTGCAAACCACAGTTGCATTCACGACCCATCAAACATGTCTAAAGTGATGTACCGCTTCCAGCTGGTTACATCCTGTGAGGCCTGTTGTTTTCTCCTAAACCACAAGGCATTGAAAAATTGCAAGGTGAAACTTTGTCCAGACCATCCTTCGGAAATCTTTTTTGCAAAATTTGATTCTTAAAAAGCCTAATAAATATTACGACACAAAACTAACAAGGATGTTTTGAACAAACTATGATGTCATCATCAGAAGAAACATGCATCATTTTTGCATGCCGAATTTTTGGTTAGTTTTTGTTAGTCCAGCAGTTTGATAGGAGATGTTTGTTAGGTAGGAATGCCTTTGGAGACCATTAACGGATGTGGTAAAAATGTAAAGGTCAAACTTAAGGATATCACAAAGAAAGGGAACACTGATCCAGTCATAGCCATCCATGGGATTTTTAATATCACTGCCATGGTGGTCATTTTAAACATCAGACTGGACCCTCTTAAATAATTCAGGTGTCATCATTAGTTAAAACAAGCAGGTGAAGTTTCAGCTTTATCGGTCCAGTGGTTCTCCATGTAGAGTACCAAGAATTTAAAGAGCGCAGTACAATTCTGGCTCAACAGTTGTTAGAGCAAGGTTACTGTATTGAACATGTTGAAGACCACAGTAGAATTTTCAAAAAGATTCATGGTAGACATGTGGAGGACATTTACAAATTTATCGCATCAGTGACAAAAATGCTGTGCGATGCAATTCCCTAGTTTGACTTGTAACATATGTTCCCGTGTTACTTCAGGTGACCAATTGTCTTGCCTTAAAATTGTATGTGTTTATGGCTAGTGCCACCGGTGGGGCAGGATACGCTCACCTGGTATCATCATTATTGGACAGTGATTCATAAACACATACTCACGTTATAGTCAGAATCATAAAATTGACTTAGAGATTTTAACAGAGATTCAAATTGAAAATGGAAAGGGATTTTCACTTTTATTTACGGACACTACAGGCCATGACATAAGGTGAGCTAAAAATACATGTACCAAATGAGAATAAACACTCATTATCCGGAATGCTAGTTAGGAGAATCAACTGCAAACTAATAGTCTATATCAAACATTTTTCTAAATGCTCACAGGTGCACAAATTCATGCACTGTAAACACATAACTTACTGGGCTGTTGAAAATGCCCTTCTGACTGTTCAATTACACTGCGGTCCCGTGAAGACTGACAAGATTCCGGGGTAGAATAGGTCTTCAGCAACCCATTCTTGCCGTAAAAGGTGACTATGCTTGTTGTAAAAGGCGACTAACAGGATCGGGTGGTCAGGCTCGCTGACTTGGTTGATGCATGTCATTGATGCATGTCATCGATCCAAATTGCAGTGACAAGCGAACGCTTTAACCACTAGGCTACCCAAGCACCCTTAGAATAGCAACATTTCTTCAGTTTGTGACAAAAACCTGAACAGACACAATGGAAAGTAACAGAAAAACAACAGGAAAAAACTGTGTATTGCCCAGGACTTTTCCACGTCAGAAAAGGAGTCATTCTGTCAGATAACATCAGATCAATGAAACAATGCAAACTTACTCTATTTTATATTTATAGTAAATATATTGTTTATATTTTATGAGACTAATGCAAACTGAACCCCCAAATCATTCCATGTAGATTTGTCCAAACATCCTAAATGCTATATTTATTCAAAGACCTGATACATTTATTCATGTTATTATCAAAACTATACTTGAGCACACCATGAATAATCATGCTTATGATAATGCTAATGATAATAATGACTGCTCAAAATGCATGCAAGTGCAACAAACTATGCATGCATAATATCAAATATCAAACAATATCCAATAAAACTAGGCTTTGTGCAATGCCATTATGGATTTGAACATTTCAGAATATGGAAACATAAAAGGTTAGGTATAATGACATAAAAAGTGTGGTTGTACTGCACAACCTCGAGGCTATGACTTTCAATGTTAAGGTATGGGAGTTACAATCAGTTACAATTCAGATCTAATAATGGCAGTAATTGGCAACAAACAGCCACCATTCAATCTGTTCCTACACCATGCACAAACCCTTACAGGTTCTACTACACCAAATCAGAACCAGTTTGGACAGTGCGGTTTTCGTAGGGAGCCTTCAGTGCAGATCGAGAGATATCTGCAGGCTGTGATTGGAGGATATTCTGTAAGATTTTTATGTCTTTCAAATGTACATCCATCCAGTTATTAAAACTGACCATGTTTTTCTATATTTAGTGCTGTCTTTTTCGACATGATGACTTATGCTGAATGTGACCACAGCTATTTTAAAGTAGGTGACATTTGGTGCGAAACTGGGGGTGGTGTGTTTAGCTTCCTGTACTCGGAAAAGGAGCTGGCTAAGTTAGTCATTTTTTATTTTTTTATTGCTGCTCTAAGGCCAAACTGTGCACACATGTACAGGTAATAGCTGTTGAATGCTTAGTTATTTTAAAAAAAAATATAACGTTACTATAAAAGTCTATGGGAAAACATTTGGTTGTGTGTAACCTGTACAATGCCAAAATGGATTTCAGTGGTTGCCATCTCTTTTATTCTGAACATGTGCTATGATATGTAGTTGCTGGCTTAATTTGCCAGTTTCTGTCACAATTTCTCTCAGTTACAAGCCTATTAAACATGTTAAAAACTTGTGTAGCTGTCAAATTTCAGACTTTACTGACGAACTGTACATGCAGCAAAAGACCTTTACATCGCTCAACTGTACTGTCAGGCAGGCATGGGGCCTAATCTGCTATTCAACAGCACCATATATGTAGGAAAACAATCTAAATATATTTCATTTTTGAAAGTGTGGGTTTCAAACAAGAAGGGCGCACTTAAATACTGACTGAAAAACGGAGCAACCTGGAATGAACTATTAGCTGTTCCCACGGTCTTGCTTCAAATGTTTGTTTGTGTTTGTTGTTTGACGCCGAACTCAACAAAATTACAGCTAAATGATGGCAGTCTGTAAATAATCAAGTCTGGACCAGACAATCCAGTGAGTGACATCATGAGCATCGATCTAAGCAATTGGGATGCGATGACATGCATCAACCAAGTCAGCGAGCCTGACCATCCGATCCCGTTAACCACCTCTTATGACAAGCATAGTCATCTTTAATGGCAAGCACGATAGCTGAAGACCTATTCAACCCCGGATCTTCAAAAGTGGCCATTAAATGAATACTACTACAATATAAGTAGTCGTGGTTATCCCCGAAGTTTCACAGAATCAAGGATTACATATTTCAAAACATGACAAGCTTTACGTGATAGTACTACGTATCACCTGTATGGGGCATGCCAAATGTGCTTTCAGGTCCAGGTTAGAACCACTATGTCGCCGCACCTAGCAAGTTAGTGAAGGGAAGATAAATTGAGAAAGATCGCACAATACATTACTGAGTTTGGTTTTATGCTGCTTTTAGCAATATTCCAGCAATATCATGGCGGGGGACACCAGAAATGGGCTTCACACATCATACCCATGTCAGGAATCGAACCCGGGTCTTCGGCGTGACAAGCGAAGGCTTAAACCACAAGGCTACCTGACCGCCCCTCGCCCATTACAAAACTTACAGATGGACAATGATTGGTTTATATCTACCTCAAGGAAACAACTTTATCAGGAAACTGGTTTTGATTCTCTATTGTAGCTTAATTTACTAAATATGTTATAAACAAGTCCCTTCTTATCTAAAAAAGTACTGTCTGACGTTGGTGGTGCAAATCAATCTGAAATATTTTGTTTATTTTCATTGCATGTTATTGCATGATCTATTGGCCTGTACACCAAAGTTGGTAATGAAATGTTCCCATTAACATACCGGTAATCTTGATTTTAGTTGGTGGTGCCTAAGAAACTTGTCTTATTGAAGATTAGTCCAGGATGCCATTCCATAAAGCGATCTTTGCGCAAATTTGATCGTAACCCCCATACTATAACATTGGCTTACGACAGTTGCAGCGCTATGATCGCTTTGAGGAACAGGACCCTGGGTTCTAGTGGAAACTTTATTTCAGCGACTGCTAGTCCTGCTTGAACATGACAGAAATGTTAACTATGATTACATATATTCAGTTCCAAGGATAAAACCGAACACTTTGGATCCGTAATAATGATATCTGATGATAGTCAAATATGTTTCCAAAATTATTAGATCTTTTATGATTAATTTCATTGTGTAATAAGAAAACAAATGCCAAATAAATGGCTTTTCATGTGAATAAAATCCAAAGGCCAAATGTCAGAACCAATGAAAGACCCTATCATTAAATACCGTTATTACGGATCAAAAGTGTTTGTTTTTTCTAGTTATTATACTGGGCGTTCAATAACTCCGCTAAACCCATCACTTTGCAGTGGGAGAAAACGGGGCGACATCTGCAGCGAGTTTCAATCAGAAGTGGTCATTGTGATTTGATACCTCTGACTGACCAATCAGAATCAAGCAATTTCATAATTCAAGGTAGAATGACTGGTTTATCCATAATAATGCAAATGCATGCAAGTAGCATAGAATAAGGTAAAATTATGGTGCAACTTACAAAAGAAAAGACAGAAAACAGGTTTAAGGTCTGGGACTCCAGATCAGGTTCGGACAGGGAATCCCCAAACACAATTTCTATTTCAGGCCTAAACTACTTCCTCTCTTGTTTGACAAATCATTCTGAGATTATAATGACATGCATAGTTGCCACTGCCGCTGCCATGGTCAGTATCCGATTTAGCAAAGCATCCAGATAATTTGACAAATAGGGCTCCAACAAGTACTTGAGTCTGTTATTGACGACTCAAGTACTCGCTAAAGGGAGGTAACTCTAATTCATGTACTTTGTTATTTTCAATACACATGTCGTACATAATGAAGGAAAGGCACCTTATAATTTAGGCAAACAATCTAGGCTACAAGAGAGAGCTGGTGTATCTGTTAATGCAAAACAGTTATTATACATAACAGACATTTTCAGGTATTCAGAGCTCCAGATAAGCTTTTGGTGTTGTGGGTATTTTACCCATGCATTTTAAAATCATTGGGTATCAGTAATTCTATCTGGGTATTCAAATTTCTGTTGCCCACTAGTTTTTACACATGTGGGTACTTAAGTTAAATATTTTTAAACACTATTCATCTAGTCCCTGCAAACTGGTGTTGTGTGGGTTCGAGAGCTTTATAGGACTTAAAAATACCATGATACTTCCACAAGAAAGTGTGATGGCAAATGATCATGATGTAACTGTCATCATGGAGTTTGGCAAGGTTGACGGAATGCCCGTTTATAATTTCAAAATAAGTTGCTGATTTGCTAATCCAATACACAGAGTTACTTCACAACATTTTGATGATACACACAAGTTTTATTTTTGTAGCGTATCTGTAATGTTCGTTGCGTATTTGATACGCTTGGATTTTATTTTACTGCATATTTCTGCATTTCTGATGCATATTTTATGCAGATACGCAGCTTATCTGGAGCTCTGGGTATTGTGTATAATATCTGATAAATGCAGGTATTATATATAATAACTGATTGTACACCAACATTGCTCACAGAAAAAATGTGTAATCAGTTATAACATGTGTAATGTACAAAATAGTATGAAGCAAACTCTTGTGGTACATTGTTGTGTTAAAATGAGGAATGAAAAGAACTTTGATTCTTTATTAATGCAATCAACATAATATCGTCACATTGCCATTACAAGAGAGCAAATAATATCAAGATTTATCAACCGTCTTTGTTCGTGCAGGAACCGCTTGAGTGGCATCAAAAATTACACATCAATCGTGCTTTAAAGCATTTGCATCTGTCACTTTGGTATCTGTTGGTGCCAGCGCTATTGCATTTAATAAATTCTTGACCTCCATATTTGGATTCTCTCTGTACAGAAACTCTAAGAGAAATGGCGCTGTTAGTTAGTTTCGTTTGTTGTTTAACGCCGCACTCAGCAATATTCCAGCTACATGAAGCATTTTGTCTGTTGTTTAACGCCGCACTCAGCAATATTCCAGCTATATGACGGCGGTCTGTAAATAATCGAGTCTGGACCAGACAATCCAGTGATTGACATCATGAGCATCGATCCATGCAATTGGGATACGATGACATGCATCAACCAAGTCAGCAAGTCTGACAACCCGATCATGTCAGTCGCCTATTATGCATTGTTAGTTAGTTTACATATCGTCCACAGTGTACAGTGATGTCGGACATACATCAAATTATTCCTAAAGTACTTGATGTTCAAAACATCAGACTTGACAACAGTGGTACCTGACATTTCTCCTTATCTCTTGCACAACACCACTCTATTGAAGACGTCACTTAACACACCTTAAAGAGTCAGAGCTCCAGATAACATTTTGAGCAATTGAGCTTCTACTCTAGGGTTTCTATTTTAATTGGGTTATTACATTTTTCATTGGGTAACCAATATTTTTTCACTCATCTATTCATCACTCTTTTGGGTTTTTCCCAAAATTAGTGAACATTTTAAGATTTTAAAAAAATGAAATAATGTTTTAGATGTATATAACTGTTTTAAATATAGGCTTGACCCGGAAAGTAATTAAGCACGTAATTGTGTTTCGGAAATTATCTCCTTTGTACGTATGATGAAAAAGCTTCAATGGGAATTTACGTGAGGTGTTTTTATAATTTGAATTTTGCATTCAATGCATGCGTTTCTGTACGCAAGTTAATTGAAAGAATTTGGGTTTTGAATATGTTCTTGGTTTTATTTCATGCAAATATGCAGCTTATCTTTAGCTCTGAAAGTGTTTTCAATTGATATTTTTAAAAAGCCCATATCATATTTATCACTCAATAACAAATTACACAAAGAGGCGTTAACTAGTTTCTTATAACGTGAGTAACCTTTCTTATAACGTGAGTAACCTATGAAAACAACACAAAGGTTAACTACTATACGGTACATTAACATTCCAATGTCAATTCAGAAATGTCAATGAAAAGTTCAGTTATTATGTATAACAACTGAGCGAATCAGATTGACATAAAACAGTAAACTTCGTTTATAACAAATACACACGAACTGTATATATGCTCCTTACAAACTACAGTTATAACTAGAATTAGGGCTCCCTTTGAGTTTGTTGTGTCCGTAGTTTTCTGTACCCGGAAATTTACGGCATTTTGCACAAAAACTGATTATACGTCCTAACTGTATCATATATACAGAATAGCAGTGATAGTATTTCTTCACTTCTGTAATTCTGTCTACCATCAAATCACATACAAGCTGACATTCTGACAGACAACTTCTCGTAAGACTGCTGCAGATAGATTAGAATGTCTGAGGTATTTTAATGTACGTCAGTGTCATTGCCTTGTATTTACGTTTAATTTAAGTGATATATCATTAGCTTTTATTCGCTAGAAAAAGGGACTCTTAATATTCATTTATTCATAAAGAAAATTACGATATCAAAAGGTTCTTATTACTGGGTACACGAGCACGAGTCAAGTTTCTACCCCTGCGTACTCAAGTCGAATCATGAGACCCTGTTGATGTGCTATTGACAAATAGATCATAAGTTTTAAAATGTATCATGTTAATACATGTCATAACAGTTACACAAAAGCTGTAGTGCATGTTAAGCCATCCATGAGTTTCATCCTCATTCTATTATAAGTGACAGTGTGGCTCGATTTAAGGAACTTGATTTACCTTGCACCAGGTGCATGTTGACATGAAAAGCAAGTTTCACAAAACCAAACCAGATTGGTCCCATAAAATCTAGCTGGTCTGCTGTTAGTGTCACATAAACTGATGATACATTGTTGTGAAACATAATAGGAATATGTGCACATAATCTTTAAGTACCCACAGTTTGGTGACGTCAAGCCAAAGACAGCATGACAAATTACATGTAACACAGGGATTAGTGATGTAGTATGGTACTTTATAGGTACCGAGTGTGTTCAAAAATTGATTTTGTGTGGACACAAATTTGAAATATATTGACATGCACTTGGTTCATCTAGACATAAATATTAGGTTGTGTTTTTCAATAATAGGTTGCACTGGTGCATGTTTTATGTAGCTAAATCGAGCCCTGGCTAAATGTAACACCTCAATATTGTCACGAATGAATAGGACCATGTGCCCATGATCTTGAAGTACCCACAGTTTGGTGACGTCAAGCCAAAGACAGCATATCAAATTACACATAACACAGGGATTAGTGATGTAGTATGGTACATAAACTTTATAGGTACCGACCGTGTTCAAAGATCGATTTTGTGTGCACAACTAAGGGTTAGACAATTTTTTATATATTTTACATGCACTTGATGTAGACGGAAGGTTGAATTTGCAATAATAGTTTGCACTTGTGTGTGTCACAAATAGCTAAATCCTAAAGACTGTGACTCATTCGTAACTTCGTTTGAGAAGCAATGACACCATTTTCACCACCCTCATCTGTAACTTCACACAGAATTTCTTGCTTGCGAGAGTAATTTGAATTCATGTCGGCCTCTAGTGTCATGTCATTTGTATCCAGTCACAAAGCTATGGTCGAGGGTAGGCCCTCTAGGAGTACAGGAGCTGTTGTCACACTGAATTTGATACCTCTAGAACAGAAGCTGTTGCCACACTGAATGTGATGGCTCTAGGACTACAGGAGCTATTGTCACACTGATTTGATGCCTCAAGAACAGAAGCTGTTGCCACACTGAATGTGATGGCTCTAGGAGTACAGGAGCTGTTGTCACACTGGATTTCATACATCTAGGAGTACAGGAGCTGTTGTCACACTGAATTTCATCCATCTAGGAGTACAGGAGCTGTTGTCACACTGAATTTCATACACCTAGGAGTACAGGAGCTGTTGTCACACTGAATTTGATAGCTCTAGGAGTACAGGAGCTGTTGTCACACTGAATTTCATACATCTAGGAGTACAGGAGCTGTTGTCACACTGAATTTGATAGCTCTAGGAGTACAGGAGCTGTTGTCACACTGAATTTCATACATCTAGGAGAACAGGAGCTGTTGTCACACTGAATTTCATACATCTAGGAGTACAGGAGCTAGTGTCACACTGAATTTGATACCTCCAGGAGTACAGGAGCTGTTGTCACACTGAATTTGATACCTCCAGGAGTACAGGAGCTAGGGTCACACTGAATTTGATAGCTCTAGGAGTACAGGAGCTAGTGTCACACTGAATTTGATACCTCCAGGAGTACAGGAGCTAGTGTCACACTGAATTTGATACCTCCAGGAGTACAGGAGCTATGGCAACTCTGATAACTCAAGAACAAGCAAATTGGGAAAATAGTTGTGACATTGTTCTAATCTTCATGGATTTCTGAGGAACTGGGAAATTTGAAATACAAATCAGGATTGTTTATTGTCTTTTGATGCAGTCCTAGGATCGAATATTGACCTCTGAGGGGGCCTGAGACAACATTGTATACACTACACTGACATTGAATACACTACACTGACATTGAATACACTACACTGACATTGGATACACTACACTGACATTGAATACACTACACTGACATTGAATACACTACACTGACATTGTATACACTACACTGACACTGGATACACTACACTGACATTGAATACACTACACTGACATTGGATACACTACACTGACATTGTATACACTACACTGACATTGAATACACTACACTGACATTGTATACACTACACTGACATTGTATACACTACACTGACATTGAATACACTACACTGACATTGTATACACTACACTGACATTGAATACACTACACTGACATTGGATACACTACACTGACATTGGATACACTACACTGACATTGTATACACTACACTGACATTGGATACACTACACTGACATTGTATACACTACACTGACATTGAATACACTACACTGACATTGGATACACTACACTGACATTGGATACACTACACTGACATTGTATACACTACACTGACATTGGATACACTACACTGACATTGTATACACTACACTGACATTGAATACACTACACTGACATTGGATACACTACACTGACATTGGATACACTACACTGACATTGTATACACTACACTGACATTGAATACACTACACTGACATTGGATACACTACACTGACATTGGATACACTACACTGACATTGTATACACTACACTGACATTGAATACACTACACTGACATTGGATACACTACACTGACATTGGATACACTACACTGACATTGGATACACTACACTGACATTGTATACACTACACTGACATTGAATACACTACACTGACATTGGATACACTACACTGACATTGGATACATTACACTGACATTGGATACACTACACTGACATTGTATACACTACACTGACATTGAATACACTACACTGACATTGTATACACTACACTGACATTGGATACACTACACTGACATTGGATACACTACACTGACATTGAATACACTACACTGGCATTGGTTACACTACACTGACATTGGATACACTACACTGACATTGGATACACTACACTGACATTGGATACACTACACTGGCATTGGTTACACTACACTGACATTGGATACACTACACTGACATTGTATACACTACACTGACATTGGATACACTACACTGACATTGGATACACTACACTGACATTGTATACACTACACTGACATTGGTTACACTACACTGACTTTGGATACACTACACTGACATTGTATACACTACACTGACACTGGATACACTACACTGGCATTGGTTACACTACACTGACATTGGATACACTACACTGACATTGAATACACTACACTGACATTGGATACACTACACTGGCATTGGTTACACTACACTGACATTGGATACACTACACTGACATTGTATACACTACACTGACACTGGATACACTACACTGACATTGTATACACTACACTGACATTGTATACACTACACTGACACTGGATACACTACACTGACAGTGTATACACTACACTGACATTGTATACACTACACTGACACTGGATACACTACACTGACATTGTATACACTACACTGACATTGTATACACTACACTGACATTGTATACACTACACTGACATTGAATACACTACACTGACATTGTATACACTACACTGACATTGTATACACTACACTGACATTGTATACACTACACTGACATTGAATACACTACACTGACATTGTATACACTACACTGACATTGTATACACTACACTGACATTGAATACACTACACTGACATTGTATACACTACACTGACATTGTATACACTACACTGACATTGTATACACTACACTGACATTGAATACACTACACTGACATTGGTAACACTACACTGACATTGGATACACTACACTGACATTGAATACACTACACTGACATTGGATACACTACACTGACATTGGTTACACTACACTGACATTGTATACACTACACTGACACTGGATACACTACACTGACACTGGATACACTACACTGACACTGGATACACTACACTGACACTGAATACACTACACTGACATTGAATACACTACACTGACACTGGATACACTACACTGACATTGAATACACTACACTGACATTGGATACACTACACTGACACTGGATACACTACACTGACACTGGATACACTACACTGACACTGGATACACTACACTGACATTGAATACACTACACTGACATTGGATACACTACACTGACATTGGATACACTACACTGACATTGGATACACTACACTGACATTGAATACACTACACTGACATTGAATACACAACACTGACATTGAATACACTACACTGACATTGTATACACTACACTGACATTGAAAACACTACACTGACATTGGATACACTACACTGACATTGAATACACTACACTGACATTGGATACACTACACTGACATTGAATACACTACACTGACATTGTATACACTACACTAACATTGAATACACAACACTGACATTGAATACACTACACTGACATTGGATACACTACACTGACATTGGTTACACTACACTGACATTGGATACACTACACTGACATTGAATACACTACACTGACATTGGTTACACTACACTGACATTGGATACACTACACTGACATTGAATACACTACACTGACATTGGATACACTACACTGACATTGGATACACTACACTGACATTGAATACACTACACTGACATTGGATACACTACACTGACATTGGTTACACTACACTGACATTGGATACACTACACTGACATTGAATACACTACACTGACATTGGATACACTACACTGACATTGAATATACTACACTGACATTGAATACACTACACTGACCTTGGATACACTACACTGACATTGAATACACTACACTGACATTGGTTACACTACACTGACATTGAATACACTACACTTACATTGAATATACTACACTGACATTGAATATACTACACTGACATTGAATACACAACACTGACATTGAATACACTACACTGACATTGAATACACAACACTGACATTGAATACACTACACTGACATTGGTTACACTACACTGACATTGAATACACTACACTGACATTGGATACACTACACTGACATTGAATACACAACACTGACATTGAATACACTACACTGACATTGGTTACACTACACTAACATTGAATACACTACACTGACACTGGATACACTACACTGACATTGTATACACTACACTGACATTGGATACACTACACTGACATTGGTTACACAACACTGACATTGAATACACTACACTGACATTGGATACACTACACTGACAATATTGAACATGCAACAATGTTTGTTTCTGTGT